AACCGTGCCTTTGATCAAGTTATGCATGACCTCTGAGATGTACGCCCTAAAGTGGACGTCTGGGCCCCTGCGTTCATTGCGCTTAAGAACATTATTGTCGATATTTGTTGAAACTTCCTGGACATCGAAATGATGATGCGGAAAAAGAACCGTAAACAGTGATTGTGGTGATCGCTGATATGCAGCTCATCAACTGCCACCGAAATGGACAGTACTCCAGCAGGACATATCAAGTATAACTTCGCAGTCATAAAAAAAATTAGCACATCCCACGTATTGTGGGCATCGATGATTCGCGAAGCACGAATGATTAAGGTTGATATGTCCCTTTAAATTGAGCACAACGTTACGAGGCGGACGTAATTATGACGTTCCGAACTCCCATGCCATGATTATTATGTTTGGATGTGTCATTTGCTTTCGTCGTCTATTCACGTCATGTGATACCAAATTTAGCATCACGTGACGTGATAGTGCGGAGCTAGCGGAACAGCCACAACCACGCTATGAGCGTAACATTCAGTTATGTTTTGCCTCACACGCATATCATAACGATCATGTTTGGACGTGTCATTTACCTTCATCGTCCATTCACGTCATGCGATACCAAGCTTGGTATATGTTGAGCTGGCGAAATGGCCTCGAGCGTGCTATGAGCGTAGCATGTAGTCATGTTTTACAAGACACGCATATCAAGCCATGTTCGGACTTGTCATTACGTTCGTCGTCTATTACACCGTATCACGTGATACCAAATTTGTGGTCATGTTTTACACGACACGCATGGGACGATTATCACGTTTGCACGAGTCAAATACCTTCGTCATCTATTGAGGTCACGTAACACCAAATTTGGTATATGTGAAGTTAGCGAAACGATCGCTAGCGCATCATGAGCGTGGTGTGTAGTCATGACTAGTCATAACATGAAAATCATGACATGCATGTTACGATTTTCATTTTAGAGGTTGTCATATATGTTCGCATTGCAGTCATGTAATGCAATACTGTTGTAGGTAATGGGCACACAAAGGTCACTTGCAATCATTTCACTCTTCGTTTTCGAAAAGCTGCGTGGTTTCAGACACAGCGAAGTAACAATTGAGAAGCTTATTCACGTGCATCTGTACCTATCAGTAGGTTTCGTGCGTTATTTGCACGTGATATACGTGGGGCACGTTTCAATTTGCTTTCTATTCTGTGCATGATCTTCCAATTTGTTGCTATCACATTCATTTCTTCCCCTTTGCGGCAAAGCTGTGACTTTTTTTAATTCCAAAGAGTTGAAAGAAATGAATTGTGACAAGTTGTAATTTCCTGCAATCTATTAGGAATAAAATAAAGGCACCCATTCGGCAACATTGACGAATTAATATTATTATCACAAATGCTTGTACTCGTATACTCTTTAGGGGCGTTTGCTCACTTCCTTGGGCGCATACCCACAAAGTGGTTATTCTTTCTCCCAGATTATACTTAGAAAAAATGAGAACATTTCTGTTCGTGTAATTCTAACTCTAACTCTAACAAAAAATAGAATATTGTTTTGTTTGAAGTAGTTATGAGATGCCTAGTGAGTTCACAAAAGCGAACAAAGGGCCATAAAACAAGATTTTGGTAGATGCCAGTACAAATTCCCTACACTGCACAAGATAACAAAGCAGTACCAATACAGACAGCAAAAAAGGTACGATTCCGCTCTCCGGAAATGAAACATGCTGCTTGCCATGATCAGTATTGTTCAAAATACGCATAAAACACTGCATGACCAAAATTATAACTCCGATCCGCCTATTCGATGCACCCTCCCATTACATCAGGAACACTGATACATTCTTAACAACTAGGCTACCGATGAAGCAACATGACAATATTAATACAAAGATATTAAGTGTCTTTTAACATGAATAAAGTGAACGGGCTTCATTCCAAATGCAACAACTCTCCGAAGCGTAGGACTCGTCTTTGGACCCTGCGGCTTCTTTTCATTTTAATTAAGATTCTACGTTTCTCACAACTGTAGATAAACGTGATTTGCGGAAATAATAGGATATATGGTCTGAAATATATTTATACCCTTCTTTACTTGATTAGTGTAACGTAGCCGGGAACACCGCAGGTGATCATGTAGCCCGGAAGCAATATCACAGAGATGATTCGACTTCCCTCCCTAGACCAGAAAATGAATGCGCTGCACTCTATTAGTAAATATGTTCTCTTTGTCTATGTAATTTTTGCCGTAGCACTTCTGAAACTTCGAAACCTCACGGCTGCCGGTTTATTTACCTTAAACCAGGAGGTAATCAAGCAGGTGATACATACCAGGATTTCCAAACGTCTTGGTTGTTGAATCGTTCAGTTCGGCTAAATACGTTGGTGTGACTTTGATATACTCTCCGGGCTTTCCACAGAGTTTCCACTGCTTTGTGAAGGGCCGTTCCTGCTCTTGTGACTCTGCAGGGAGGTCGATGCGTACGTCGCCTTTCTCGAATAAACTAGAAGACAAGCGGCGTGCACTGCTTCTCTTTGGCCACGTGTTCGGGAAGTTGATGGCCACGTGCTTGAAGTACACGAGGCCATTAGTTGCACGGTGGAGGAAGTGAGACGAAGACTTGAGCAGGCTCTGAAATCATGTGAGTAGATTTAGTTCCACAGATCCCCTTAAGGGTCGGGTTGTTATGACAGGTGAGAATAGCAATATGTGGAATACCTAGTGAAATATATGGTAGAGAAGAAAATGGAAAGAGTTTACACAGTCCAGGATAGCCAGTTGGATGCACTACACGTGAAAACAAGATGAATAACATTGAAAAAAAGATGCAAGAGATTGAGAGATAGCACAGCAACACACAAGCCCGCAATGAGTAACAGTCGCCCACTACTGGCTGCTGTTGCTGCAAGCGGTTGTTGCCCCCTTCTGCTGATTGACTGCTCCTATCCCTGTCGTCTATTTTTTTACTCTTTCTTCCCCTTCCCCATCCAACTAAAAGACGCTGCGACGTGCTCCCTTAAGGGCTGCATAAATTTGGCGTCTTTTCCTTGTTCTAACCTTAATCACCTTCACTATGAATCGGGCGTTGAACACGATATGACTGTCGCAACCACAAGTTTGCGCAACAGTTTAGTACGACGAAAGCCTCAGTTGTCGATACTTGGAAGGCCTTGTGAAAGCTTCTTCGTTGAAAAAAAAAATCATGATGGATGCAAAAACGAAAAAAGAAATGCCGGAGTCGCGCAAAAGTCGTATCGAAATGAGGCGTGGCAATCAAGTATTTTGACACATATCCACGAAACTATTTCAGCAAAAAGGCCATTCATGTGTGGTCATGTCGGGGGAAGGGTGACGCTGTTCTATATGATATTGCGTGGCGAAAACGCATAATTGCACCAAGCCTTACACAATGTGAATTTCTTAACGATTCGTTAATTGGAAGCTCTCTTATAAAGGGGTTGGCCATAATTAATCAGCATTAGGCGCAGCACCAACAACAAGCTCAGCCACAGCCCCTAAGTACCCTGATTTCTCGTTGTGGTCATGGGAGCTTTTGCACAGCATACCACGCGTCTGGCAGAAAATAAGACATGACTTTCTGAGAAGACAGGGCACGCAAGTAGGGACCCAAGTCGGAAGTTGGGACGCCTCAGACGCTTACTAACAATTGAAGATGCGCTCAATGACGAAAAAGATAGAAAGCATAAAAACTTATCTGCGCATGCCGATACAGCTTGCGAACATGTCTATCTGGCATGCGTCGGGACCTACCTTAAACACGACAATTAAGGCATTTGATGTCACATTTGTGCAAGTTAATGAAGTGTTGGCTCACGCATGCGCTACTACTATTATCGATATACAATGCTTCAACTACCAGACACGTTTCTTTATTCCTATGCAGGTACAGAATAGGGTCTTCATCGAACATTGGTGTGCACTTGCAATAATGACAATGTAAAGAAAAGATTGAATGCCAGATTGATAGGTTCAAAGTATTGCATGGGCATGAGAAAGTAAGTTTTCAGTTGGATAAGTTTTCATCACTTCATTTACTTTAGTTGCGGAAGGGACAACGATTAACGTATACACCGCCTAGTGAGAAATTGAGTGAAACAATGTGTCATGCCTGTCGATGAGGTGTACTTAAAGTCAATAATAAAATTCAGTGACCCACGTCGTCGTACGCGTCGGCGAAGTCAACATGAGTGATACAAAAAAAGAAAGATCACGCGATCATAGCACCATATGACGTCACCATTTACCGTCATCTTGACGTCACCGGTTAGAAAGTGTGTGAGGATATTATATTATGTCCGGGATGACATTCAATCAAATGACTGTTTGGTGAAGGGTATACCGACCTCGAAGTCAGTGCGAAACGTGTTGGGGTACACAACATTTACCATGCCTCTGATTCTGAACGAATTGCAATTGCAACCATGCTGTTTGCTTGAAACTTCTCGAAGGGGTGCGTGGGAGCTTCAGTACATCAACCTATGAGAAAACGAAGAGGCGTGTGGGCTGAGGCAGGAGACCTTGTGAAGTTTCTCATGTTTTTTTAAAAAAAAGAACATGACTTAGGTCGTTCATTTCGCGAAAATATATGTATAAATATTTCCACTATGTAATGTACCTTGACGTTCTCGACGATGGTCTCGTTGTAGGGCACATCCTTGTTGATCGAAATCAGCAAGTCCCTGTAGCCTCCGTCGCTCTTGTCTATCTCCAAGGTGCTAACACAGATCAGCAGGCACATCATTGCGGCAGCTACAGGCAATCGCGAGGCCATTCTCAGATGACACGCTGTTCAACAGAGTGAAAGATTAATTACATTTATTATTCGAAAATCAGTGATGGCATCGTGGCTACCTAAAAGTATTTCATTGACTGGTGTCTTTGATAACATGCAGCTTCCGTCAGCGCTGTTTAGCATCGGAGTCCAGAATGTGGGAGTGATGCGTTCTTTTCCGACAAATTTCGCATGTACCAGAATAATAAATAAGAACGTAGCTGTTTCCAACTACGCACTTATCCGTCGAAATTAATATAGCGAAGAGCGGTCGCGGCTATTTGCTTAGCGCAAAGGATCATTCTGGAGTTGTCTTCTTATTTATTTATGTATGTATTTATTTATTCTTTCGGAGATGCACAGATACACAATTACACTGAGAAAAGAGGGAGAGAGCAAGAGTGAAAATGCAGTATTTTTCGTGAGGTGAAAGGTGTGACATTTCTATAAGGCACACGCCATTGATGAACCGATACGGCAACGCAGTTATCTCCGTCATGGAGGCACATGACCTCTTGTTTCCGATACATTTGTACCCTCTGTAGGAATTGCAAAATCGATGAACGATCATTCGACAAAATGTGCTCGATTAATCAAATAATCGTAAGCGATTTCGGTGCTTCACGTAATCAAAATAACCGATTAAGACCTTCGATTAATCTATGGTAGCAACAACTGCTCCCCCCCGCCCCTCAATACTGACCCTTAGCCAGCGCGCATGAGGCGAAGCGAGCGATGCCGAGACGCAGAAGACTAGCACACCAACTCTGTTTTCACTGCAGCGCATATTTGTTCGCTAGTAAAATGAACCAAAAGCCGGCTGTGGTCCTACCTCATAGAGACGGCAATAAACTCACCCTGGTCTCCGTAACACATGGCAACCACTTCCAGGCCTTCCTCAAAGGCTCATGGGTGGGCAGTAAGTGGTCCTCTACGTGACGGGGCAGAAATACTTTTACCTGCTTCTCTCCTCTTACAGCCCACTACTGCATTCACGTTCTCCTGCCCCACCCTCTCCTTTTTTCAATCCTGTACTGGTTAGCCGATGGCAAAGTACTTGTATTGCTTACGTGGTATATTGCTTTATTATTACAATTTGGTGTGAATAATGATTCCTTCATCATGTCGAATGATGAACAATCGCAAAAGATTGATTGATTGATATGTGGGGTTTAACGTCCCAAAACCACCATTTGATTATGAGAGACGCCGTAGTGGAGGGCTCCGGAAATTTCGACCACCTGGGGTTCTTTAACGTGCACCCAAATCTGAGCACACGGGCCTACAACATTTCCGCCTCCATCGGAAATGCAGCCGCCGCAGCCGGGATACGAACCCGCGACCTGCGGGTCAGCAGCCGAGTACCTTAGCCACTAGACCACCGCGGCGGGGCAATCGCAAAAGAGCGTAGTGTGGTCATTCTTTAGAGAATGTAGCAAAACGACGACGGCAATGTGGGATGCGCGTTTTACTCAGCCAATCCCTTGTAAAGGGTGTGGGCCTTGTGCGGAATGCAATAAGAAGAATGTACGTGGTAAGCACTTTTGATTACATAAAGTAGTAGGTAGGTGCCAATCATCCAAGAAGCATCGTCATCATCATCATATAATTGTACCAAATGTGGTTTCGTTTGGGGCTTTGTTTCTTGGCTAGAGCGACAGGGAAGTCCAGGCTTGGACGAGTTAGTAAAGGTTGAAAAAGATTTGATTATAGAGCCAGCTGATACTCCTATTTTTTAAATTGCTTTTTTAATTTCTAATTATTCCTCCCTGAAATACCAATTCCAGTTACTATCTGTTTTTACTATCAATTTTAGTATTTTATTATTATCATCTCTTTTTCGATTATTTTGAAGTTTGCTACATTATTACTTCTTTGATCTTTAATTTGTCGACATTTAATCTAATAATTGAGAATTTCTTGGGAAAGGTATCCGGTTCTTGGCAAATCCCCCAGAGTGGCAGGATCTCTACTAGCTAAAACAACTGTTTTCTTTAGGGTTTCTTGTGTTCCTCTTGGTTTTATTTTGACTAGTTTTTGTGGTCTCTTGGAAGTCAGACAACTCAGACTATTCTGATCTTTTTTTACATCCTCTGGTCAAGAACACTCTACTGGGCTAGCCTATCTGATGGTCAAGGATTGGCCGCTTGATGCCTTGCTTCGCAGTAGAGAAAACTACGTCCCTGTTGCTCTGGTTCTTACCGAAGGTGGTTCCGATCCAATGAAGAATCCGAAGGAAATTCAAGTGGAGCTTCGCAAAGCTTCTTCGCTCTTCTAGAAGATCAATAATGTCTGCTAGTTCGGACTAGGTTGTATCCTGTGCTGCTATGTAGATCAGAATTGCGCCCGAGAGCTTCTCAATTGTGCTGAATTTGTTGCACTGCCAAGGAGTCCAATTGTCTCAGCTGATCTTGCTTGTACAAAGGGCATAATCCACGGGGTCGATACGAGTCTGGCACCTCGAGAAATTCTGAACTCATTTTAGGTAACAGGGCACTTTCAGTCTATAGGTGCGCCCGAACGACTGATAACAGGAAATCATCTACCGAGTCGGCTAAGTAACTTTTACAGCAAGAGTCACCAACAGCAATTAAGGCATGGTCACTAATCTCAAAGTAGAGCCACTTCGCCAAGACCATTGCAGTGCTTGAAATGTTGGCGATTTGGCCCAGTACAAAAGGATGCAGATGAATTGCTAGATGCTGTCTGTGCAGACAGAGTCGTGACAACCGTGGATGTAACTCTGAAGAACACAAGTGTTATTTGTGTTATGGAGCGCACCTTGCAGACCCTGCTGAATGTGCGGCCAAAGAGAGAGAACTGGGTGTACTAGAAATCATAGAACAGAGGCTTTGGTTTGGGAGGGAGGTTGTCAAAGTACTGCATGAAATATCGAAAGGTTATGCAGGCATAATGCCCCACACAGCTGCCATGGATGCATCCCTTGCAGAGTCTATCAGGCCTGTTCGGGCTCATCGTATTTTTCAGGCCTTTTCATGCTTCTCGTATTTTTCAAGCCTTTTAGGCTCCTCGTATTTTTCAACCTTTTCAGGCTCCTCAAATTTTTCACATCATTGACTTAGCAGCAGCAGCAATGCAGTCTTATTAAATGGGGGAAAGAGCTCAACAATATTTCAAATGTACTGGCACTTCCCAGTCTTACTCTCAATATTTAGACATTGTCTTATGTGTCCTTAGGCTCCTCTGTCCATGGAATTCTCCAGGCAAGAATACTGGAGTGAGTTCATTGATTAGCTCTAGTAATTTTCTGGAGGAGTCTACAGTGTTTTCGATGTAGAGGATCATGTCATCTGCAAACCTTCCTCGTCCCGTCAGTGTCGTCCTTAGCGAACGGGGGACTCATTTCGCAAGGTGCTGGCAAAGTTTCTGGTTGGAAAAATATGGTGGCCGAAACCGAGTTTTAGCCAACGTGATTAGTCGATGGCGTTTCTGTGGTTTTCGGTACATAAAAAACAACGATGAAAATCTAGGGAACTTAGTTTACATGTACTAGTACATCAGGACAACTTTGAACCTTAAATTTGCAGTTCAGCGATGTCCATGCTCACCATGTTCACCGATGTCCAGGTCACAGGGGTCAAAGTGGTCAAACTGAATGCGTGCTCGTCAAAGATTTACTCAATCCAACACTGGATTCTGGAGATTCTTGCCCACTTAACGAAATTTCATGTACATTCCCCAAGGAGTGCATTATCCGTACCACAACAGAAAGGATAAATCTTGTCGAATCGTCAATCATGTTCATGCCATATGTCCCCAACGTGAGTGTCTTCTACTCTTCGACGCATGCCTATTTGTTCTTCAATTTTGTAATTTCTCAAAAGAAGCAACACCCCTAGACCACAGAGGTTGGAACTGCACTAAATATCGATAAAAATCAATTTAATTATTTAGAGAAAAGAGCATTTTCATTATTGTGGTAGATTTTAGAAAAATGCTACTTCATCTGTCTTGTGAAGGCTAGTATTTTTTGGACTAATAGGAAAACTTGCGTCATTCTTGAGGTGATGGCAGAGCTGCCTTTTGTAGGTCTTTGCGCATTCTGCATGTTGGAAAATCCAGTGACGAATGAGTGAATGAATGAATGAATGAATAATGAATGAATGAAGAGTGAATGAATGAATAAATCATTCAGCCAATCAATCAATAAATCAAATTTTCGGTTGGTCAGCCAAAGGACTGACTGCTCTAATGTCACTTTTGTCGGTTTGTTTTATTGAAATATACTACGTGTAACCATCCTTTGGGTAGATTAAAAAAGCCTGATGCCATTTCACTGACTGTGCCACGTCTTTTTTTCCTATTTTTTGTCTTTTCTCCTCTCTTTTTCTTTTTTTCATAGTTTTTTATCGCTCTCAAGCAATGACGTGGTCGCTGAGAGAGGGCAAGAGGTTGAGCCCCCAGTCTTGGCAGCGCAACTGTTGCTATGCACTGTTGTACCGTCACGTGATTGCCGAGAGAAAGTGAGGGGGCGAGACCACAGATGGCACTGTTGCAGGGCACGGGCGGACGGACGAGAGTACGGTAATTTAAAGGCTATCACCTTAAAATGAGAAAACTAATACCCCTGTCACACGGGCACCCGCGAACACCGTTTAGCTCCTTCGTCCTTACGACAAGGGAGATGCGGTCCGTGTCACACGGCAACCCTTAGGCAAACGAAGGTAAACGGAGCATTTCGCAAAGGACGTTCGACGATCTCCTTTTGCAGCGGAACGAGGTACTCTCGTTCCCAGTAACGACCAGTCTGACAAAAATTTCGAGCACTAAATAGCCGCAGTGACAACAATAAATACATTTTGGCAATATTAAACGATCTTTTGTTGTAGTACTCGTTCATAACGTATGTTTCTTTGGCGTGGTGTGGAGGGCATCGTCCATGCGTGCGGTTCATGTCGTCGCCGTGTTTGCGTGTGCCCGGGAGAGAAATGACTGACAGCGCTGCCTCA